TCTCTGCAGAGCTCGGTTCTCGCCTGTGGTGTTTTGACGAGGAGGGTGCAGCACTCCCTCCCCGCGGTGCCCGCGGTTGTCTCTCTTCTCCCGCGAGCGGTGCTTACTGACGTGGTGTTTACGAATCTCTCTACTCCTCCAGCTTCGTGGGCCACGCTTTCCGCGACGACGGTGGTTGCCAGGTGCAGTTTGCCGCTTTGCATTACTGCCGCGGGAACAGTGTCCATACACACCTCTCGCCACTACCACCGTCTGTGCATCCTCACCGCCACGCGGAGCCAGCGCGGCGGTGAGTTGCACCCTGGGACACCACCCGCCTACTATCTGTTGTGGCCTGGTTCGCCCGCGAGGGACTCACTAGGTCGATTTCGGCCCCGGCCGGGGAGCAGGCCGAGGGGGGGGAAGGTATTTTCACGCGGTTTCGACGAAAGGGGACCGAAATAGTCGACGCTCGCCGTCACACCAGGGCCCGAAGGCATGGAAAACACAAAGTAGGCCATCGAGAAGTCTGACGAGACGATTTGCGAGCTTGCCATCGCAAACGATGCCGCACCCACCACTTCGTGCAAAGACTCATGCCAACCCGCCAATAGAAACGTGCCAGCATGCTAAGCGTGCGAGCTGCACCGAGGTGGCAGGACGCGTCAGCGTGGCAGACTTGCATGATCCACAGGCGCATGAGCATCGGAACGTAAATCCGGACGGATTCATCGCGGGGGAGTCGAACAGCACGTCCGCCATGACGTGTGGATGTAGTCGACGGGAGCGTTGTGGTCTTGCGAACAAGCAAGACCAAACCATCATCGTCAACGTGTAACCGGCCTTCGGTCGAAAGGTCACGAATCTCCGGCAGAAAGGGTCGACGAGCGGACGGAACGATCCATGATATCCGAAGGGAGGGCCGAAGGTCGACCCATGAGGATGAAACGAATTTCTCCATCACACATAGGTTCATCGCGTTGCTTGCGAGCCCAATCAGGATGCGAAAAACGTTCGACAGACGCCCGGAAGTCTAAATCAGCCGAAGAATGCAGAGCCGCCTCGATAGAAGAGGAGGTCGACTCTTGAAGCGTAGACTGAAACCATAGAGCAGTCGCGGAGTCGGAAGGCGAATTCGCGCGAGCGGTCGAATAGTCAGGGGCTGCAGAAAATTGCAGAGCAGGAGCAGCCGAAGTTGCACTATGCGTCGGAGACGCAGAATCCACTCCATGAGTCAGAGGCGCGGAGGGATCAGAGGATGAACCACCAGTACCAGGAGTCGAAACCGAACTGGACACTACTGGTTTCGACATGCCGTAGGCGCCGTCGGAGACCGTCGAGACGGTCGTGGCGAAGAGGAAATCCGGGTGGGAGGCAAGGAAGACGGATCATCAGAGGAACCATAATCAACAGGCGGGAGCGGTGGGAGCGGCTTGCCTGCCACAACCGCCGCACGGCGGCGAGTCCGCGTGGAAATCACATGGGTAGGATCGAGGGTCCAACGTGGTGTGGCAGCCAATGGGACGGTCGACGGAGAGTGATGCAGTGAGTCAGACCAAACGATGGGAGGCCAATTACCTCTTCTCGAAGGAGACGAAACGCCGAGCTTCTTGGGCGATCAGGGAGCGAACTTCCAGACGACAGATGAAGACGAAAGGCCTGACGGCGGGAGATCCAGACCGTGCCCACGGATATCGACGAAGTCAGCCGGAGAGGGGGCAACCCACCCAAGACCGAAGTCGGGGAAGTCGGGACTAGCCTACCCAAGCCAACACCTGCGGCCCGATGACCGGAAGGTGTGAGGCCAAGAACGGATGAAAAACACGGTCTCCAACGACGCCAAGTGTAAGGGTACGCACGTGTGGTGCATCTGTGAGACCCGTGAAGAACTCACTTGTCATTAACTCGTGTGCAACAGCAGCAGCAGTGGCTGTTGCCTTGGTTACGGTAGAGGACTGAACTACGGAGGGGGGGAGGCGGATCCTCTGCTCAAGCAGGGGTTGCTACGATCCTATTCCCTGTTTCATCCATCCGCGGGGAGTTACATCTCCCCGCACTTTCTAGAAAGAATAATTCTCTTTTATGTTCCGCCTACACATGAAACCCTGTAATATGCCATATCACAGAAATAACCCTCACGACAAAAGAAAATATTAGAAGAAAGAATTGCAGCAAATGAATTTAAGATGCTTCTCGTCGATCTCGCCCAGGTGGACGCGAGTTAGATGCGGGTTGAAAACGATTCGAGAGATGGTGTCGCGTCACTGAAAGGTGAAGACCTTTGCGTTTCGTTGCCGGACGCGCCAATGACTGACACGATCTTTATTCAAAGAGTGAGGATCCGTCGACCATCCTCGAGTAAGGGATGATTCTCGTTTCTTTGTGCCACACGTGTTGCACGATCTGAACCCCCTGATGCGGGACTAGACAGCAGTTTGTACCCTGCGATAGAAAGGGCTGAGCTCAAACTCATCCCTCAAGGAGAGGGTGCTAAGGGTCGTCCTAAACGACCTCAGGATTTTACCTGCGATCGCAGGTTTCAGACCCCGGATCGCAGAAAAATAAATGCGGGCATTTTAAACGAAGCAGAGCACAAAATTAAAAAAAAAACTGCGATTTCTGCGATTTTGGCGGTCAAATCGCTCCCGACGACCGCAGAGGCCGTACACAACAGCAGAGGCCGTACACAGCAGACAAACATCCACCATGGCCGACCAAAACAGTGTGACACCGCGGGTATCAAGGCCCAGGAGGGTTGGGCCCCTCCCTTTACGGTTACAGACGAGCGGGGAAGCAGCTGCTGCTGCTGGTTATGGGTTAGGACGGCCTCAAATGCCTCCCGCTGTGAGCATCAGCTCATCCTGTAGTATCGCTTGAAGCAGTTGGGTCCTCGCTTCTCCAAGTCTTCCACATGATCTTCCCAGACAAGACGTCGGGGATTGTAGACAGGTGCCCGCTGATGCGGCACGTACAGCTCAGCGGCCTGTGCTCCTGCCGTTGCAACACCAGGACAAGGAAGGCCATCACGGCGGCCTTGATCGCAGCAGTAGAAGTCGTATCATGGTCTCTTTGGTCGGAGCGCCGCAGTCGCCGCCTTTGCGGAGCCGTCTGTGAGGTTCCCCGAAGCTCCCGGCGCCTTCTATTTATTGTCGGCCATGGACCCTAGCCTACTCTGGCGATCAGTTCTGGGGGTTATAGTGCAGCTACGGGGGTGATACAGGTGGCTTGGTGTGCTGTGCCCGATCCAACGTGATGCTCTCAAGAGGATCGCAGAAATCGCAGGGTTTTTACCTGCGATCGCAGAAAAGCAGCAGAGGTGATTTTTTCGGCCCTGCTCCCGACCTGCGATCGCAGGTAAAAAGCCTCCATATTCGCAGGTAAAACCTGTGATCGCAGGTTTCGCAGTTTTTTTTTGGCCTGTTTAGGTCGACCCTTAGGTCGACCCTTAGGTCGACCCTAAGAAGACCCTTTTCCCTGCGTTCAATTCAATCGGGAGTTCTCCGCCTTTTCCTATGGTTGCTTCAACCGAGTATCGTTGATGCAACCAGCCCTGTCAACTCAAATCCCTCAACACGTTCTACAAGTGTTTAGGAAATCACGACTGTAACCTGGGAACACCACCACGATGACAGCAGCAGTATAGGTTTGATCCAGCAAGGCACAAACGAAGCAAGACATTCTTCAGCCTGTTGAGGATAACAGCCAGTACAAGGAAGGAGAGAGCCACACACACACGCAAGGAAACTACTGCTGTGCATGAACCATGTGAACGAACATCCTGCGGAGGCGTTTTCTTTTTTTGCTCCATGGGCAAGGTGCGCGTCATTGATGCTCAACGGCAATCAATGTGATCAGAGACTAGACAACCGCCAGCCAGCAGAAAGAAGAGGTTGATTATTGGGCGTGGAGACGAAGAGAGAGTGTGCAGTTGTAAAATGAAAGGGAGAAGAAGGGCTACGCACCCGAGACAGTCCTCAAGGGTTGCGTTGACTTCTGCACGATACCGACTATGCATACGAGTTGTCACCTCAACCAAAGATACTGTACTGCTGTGGATCTGTACTTTCAATGATCCGCGGAGCGAGCGAAGCGAGCGAAATTTGTTCCCTTCGTCCCCAGGGAGGGCGAAAAAAAGGCTCTACAAGTATATCCGTCAAAGTTGCGCCGCGCGGTACAGGGGCCCCAAAACTTGGTTTCCGGTGAGCCTATGTAGCACACCTTTGGAACCAGAACGAGACCTACAGGGCACCGATTGACGATCTGCCCGCTTCTGAGGAAGAAGAAAAATAGCGCACTCTTATCCACACCGGTTTCGTCGTGCTCCGAGAGCAGATGGCCGTGCTTCGCCGGCATATGTAGCCGATATTCGTAGGAGATTGTGCTCCCCAACCCTGGGGTTTCTACTCGAAAAGGCGTGCACAAAAGCGGAGATCGCGGGCAGACCAGGACAAGAAGCACCGACAGAGACGCAAGAAAACCACCAACGAACGCATCAACGCTGAGACGCTGGTCTGAGACCAGCTATGAAAACCAGGAGGGGCCGGGCCTTTACGACTTATGCACCGTGTGTATACTGTAGGCATGCGCCATGTGTAACCTGGCGGGTATTTATTGATGTTGAGTGGGTCCAACCAACTGCTTCAGAAGAGCAGACCGATTATCATACAAATAACACACCTTCCCAAGTCCAGATCACACCTACCATCATCGAGAGAATCCGTCGAGGGGGTGAGGGTCTACTACTGCTGCTGCTGTGTGTTTTATCAGGATGGTTCCCCGCGGGATCGGTTCAGATTTCGTGCTAGCGCCGCGCTACTGACTGTCTTCGCAAAGAAAGCCGTGCCCTGCATGCTGTTGTTGCTGCCGCAGCCCTGCAGGGCCTCTCGGCCTCTCGCATCAAAGTCATGCCGTCGGATGGCCATCAGCTGGTCTCCACGAAAAACACGGGACTGTTCGCGAACACCCAATTACGCGCATGCGCCCCTTCGACCTTTCGACCTTTCCAACAGCTGACACACCAACAGCGGGGCCAACAGATAGACGCACGCGTGCTCCACGTGCTGTCATGGATGCTACTGGTTGCCTCCGCGTAGTCGCCACGACTGCTCTGTTTCTCCTACCTGGCGTTAGTGGTTTCTTCTCAGTCGTTCCGCGATGCACCATAAGCGGCCGGGCCGGTGTTGCACTGCTGTGTTCACGTGCCACGTCGGATGATGTCCGTTCTGCCGAGGCCGCCAAGAGTAAGCTCAGGAGTGCGTTGGCAGAGAGCGGAGGGTCTACTCTTGCCGAGGGTGTCGGGGCTGCGGTCGAGGTGCGTGTGGGGGGGTTACTACTGTGCTTACGCGTTGATGTATCCAACGTGTTTTGCTGTTCAGCAGTTTGGAATGAAAAACAAAACACGCTTTATTTGTTGTGCGTCTATTATAGTCGAGACTATAGATGGTGGCACTCAGACCCTATCCCCAACCCTAACCCTAACCCCAAAGCACGGATTTTATACTGTATCCCATATGTTTGCCTAATCAATTTTGCTGCGTAGACTTTTGCCATGGATGGTACAGCAGTAGTCCATGACATGCCCAGCATAAATGTGCTGCTCGGGAAACAATGGAAATATGCATAGAGTAAATGTACCAATGAAGAGACACTTAAGCCACCCTCCGCCCAAACAGCTCGTTCTTGACTATTGGGACGAATATCATCGATGTCGAGGTGTCGTACGATAGCTAACATCACACGCTACCTCCCCCCCCAAAAAAAATCGTAAGTGCTGGGAGGATATGGCTCCTGTAGTACCACTAATTTTTCCGGGATAATACGGTGGAAAACACCCTCGCCCCGGTTAAGGAAAGAGACACTTTAAAGATGTGGTGATTGCGCGAGATCTAAAGCGTTTCAGGACCTGATTTTTTTCGAACACGCTTTGCTTGGACTCAGGTCATGTGGGAAAAAAAATGGGATCGATCCAGCCAGGGGCCACGAACGCCGCATCCCCGGATTTCCACCATATTTCTCGGGGCTGAAATAACCCTGTTTTGACCGCACAGCGGCGCACAGCGGGTGTTGCGAACTTGAGGAGAGCCAAAACTACGAGTTTCATGCATGATGGGTCCATTCTGATCATATGTCGACTCTACAAAACCACTAGGGCGAAAAACGTTATGAGAGGGTGTTTTGCCTGTTACAACCTTACCCAGGCCGTTGCGGCGAATTCTCCCCGGGAACCCCAATATTTGTTCCGAATGTCTCTCCTTCGCTTTGCACTCCCACAAGACACCATTTGGTGGCCAGGTGTGTTCTACAACAAGGGGACTTGTTATGAAAAAAACCAAAATCATGCATACCCGGGGACAAAACTACCATATCCCCGCTTTCGCCGCAAAATCAAGGTATCACCCCCCGCCCCCCCCGACCTCCGGTGGTGGAACCACCTCTAAGTAGCCTACAAACCACTTCCGAGCTTCCACTACGCACATAATATTTACTGCAAGAAAAAGAAATGGCGTCTGGAGGTCATTTGACGCCTCTTTATGTGCATACTAGTCTAAACATCAACGATTGGTGTCGGGGTCCGTTGCCGTCCTCGGGAGGAAACGGGGGCCGCCGCCGCCGGCTGCTGACGCAAGGGAACCGTCGCCCCTCTTGGCCGTCCCGGTTCTCCTTGGACGCGACCATCTCTCCCCAC